ATCATAGCATTTCACTGTGACTGATTTGGCCATGAAGGTGCCACAGATGAACAATTTGTACTCTCAAATAAAATGGAAGGCAAGAGAATACAGAGTTTCCTCCCATTCTAAAAAGTTGAAATGCCTCTCTCGAGTCTTGGTAACTAGCAGTAAGAGCTTTGTGTTAATATATGCTTTCTGGGGTATCTTTGGCCTTGTGTACTAGCAGAAGGCAGGCTGTAAGAGCATCTTCAAAATGGAATTCCACCCTCACACTAAAGAAAATCCGACATCCCCCGTGTAGAAGGTAGCTGTCTGGAATATGACGGGACATCCTGAAAACAGGTGCCCACCCTACTCGGGAACCAGGTGGAAACAACATACCTGCAACCAGGTCTCAGAGCATATCTTGCCCAAGGGAACCTGTAGATTTTGGGGACTTAATAGGTCCGACTAGATGGATCTCTTAACTCTGGTCCTAAGATCATGGCCACCAGGACTTCCAAATTAGTGATGGCAATGAGCCCAAACTGACATTCTGTCTCAACAACACAGTACTGGCTTACTAACCAGGGCAATTACAAATCCCATTAAACACAAACTGATGTAAACATTACATTTAAAGAGCAACCAATGTTTATTTGTCAACAAAAGGTGTGTTTTTATCACAGCTTTCCAGAGATTTTGTGTAATTGGGGAATTATATTGAAAAGGATAAATAGCTGGAATGAAGCAACTGAGCTAAATCTGAGCAATGAAGATAATGTGATGAAAAGATATGTGTCTTCAGCAACCTGCCAATTATGCCTAGATACGTGTTCATAGTGCAAAGCAAATTGCTATTTTCAAATGGTTTTGCATATGCTAAAAAATCTTGTTTGTAGATCTCCTGATTGCATCTCTCTCTCTCTCTCTCTGTCTCTCTCTCTCTTGCACACACACACACACACACACAGACCACACACACACACACACACACACACACACACACACAATTTGATGAGCCTTTTGATTTAACATGTAGCGTGCAAAAAGATGTTTTTGTTAGCATGAGGTCAAGAAGCACTGGAAGGGGAAGCAGGAAGTAACGGCATATTACGTAGTAATTCATGAATTACAGCAGGTGGAACTGGGCCACGTTATCTGAACAGCAAGGGAATTTTTTTAAACAAACAGCAAAACCCTGGTGGCCATGCTCAACGGCGAATGGTGGTGATGTGTAAGCATTCCTTCTCTGCACGTGTCCGCTCTGCTCTCCACAGCTGCTCACCATGGCCCTTCAGAGAGAAAAAGCATCACTTTCTCCTTTGGCTGGTATGGCTGCTGCTATGGGGGCAGAAGAAAAACGAAGCAGCCTAGCCCTTCATTTCTTCTTCGTGGTTTCTGGGCATCACTGACACGGCCTCTGTGCCTGCCCGGACCTGTTATTGGGAAGCCTTCCTCATCCGTTTCATCCCAAGGCCCTCTGCTGTTAAGTGTGGAAGCAGATGTGTGGCACTGCAGGTTTGGTGTGTGGTTTTCAGCGTCCTGCGTTGTAAACTTCGCCATGACACAGCAGGATGCAGAGGGGGACCGCAGGGCAGCTCTTACCTCCGAAAGTAGGAGAAGTGGGCTTAGGAGGGTCACCCCAATCATTGCATCGGTTTGTCATCGGAATCTCTTGCCTCGGCCCCTACACAATATAGCATGATTCTCCCCGAAGAAGTAGTAGGGCAATGTGAGCTGTCACTGGTCTTTCACGTCTGCCCTTTTCTTTATTGCCCATGTTGCCTCTAGCAGGAGATACGGTCTAGTTTAATAGAAAAGCAGCATACTGGGGGGCCTGTTGCTGCTCTGGGATAATGGTGATCGTTATTTTTGAAGTGCCAGAAATGTGTGCAAATCTTTCTTATTATTATTTTGTAGTTTAGTTGGTCTTGAGCAAGTGCGGGGATCTGAAAGGAGAAGCCTGGGATGCATGCGCTTTCTTTGTGCAGCAGGCATCCAACCACAGACAGACACTTTTTGCTTTGCTTTCTCGACCACTGTTGAAACGTGAGCTGTGAAAAGAAAGGAAAACAAAACTGTGTGGGATATTTGCTCAAGAAAAGAGGGTGGAGCCTCCCCCCTCCCCATTTCCAGTGCGATCCTCGGGGTTTTCAGTGTTCTCCCTGTAGTTCCCAGTGCCCCCACCTTTTCCACCCTTTCCCGATACTGTAGGAGTTTCGCAAAGGGGAAAACTGCATCCCACACCATTTCCACTAACAGTTATTTTCGATAGCTGCCAGAAGTAAAGCTTCCTTTTTAAATAGGGATTTAGGCAGCCTGAACAGGGTCATTTTGACAGGGAAAGTGATTGTAGTGGGAGATGAGACAAGAAAGTGTTAGTTGCCAAGTCCTCTGTGATGATGATGAGGATGATGATGATGATGTAATAGTGCAGAAGGAGGTGGGGGTAGTGTGCCTGATCGTCTGCTGGGTACAATTTGTCTTGCTCTATGAACAAGGAACAATGGTAGTTTATTTGCAGGATGGATTTCTGTGTCATGCAAACTCACCCAGTGTGTGCTCCCCTTGAAGTCTTTCAGAGTCTTGCCCTTCTCCTTAATCTGACATTGCGGGGTGGGGGGGCACTGAATAAGCTGAATTAGATGGTATTTTACCACCAAGACTAGCTCCATCCTGAAACACTCACCTAATCAACAGCTACCACCACCTTCTGGATTGCAAGAGCTGTAGGAGGCCAAAATATTATTGTGGGGTTGGAATTCAGGGGTGGTGGGAAGATTGCGCTAGAGTATTCAATTATGATTTCTCCAATTTCCAATCTCTGTCCAATGAGCCCTAGTAGGCAGGCAGATTATCTATTTATTTCATTTTATACCACCCAATAGCCGAGGCGCTCTGGGTGGTTAACAAAAGCTAAAAACACACAAACAAAAATTAACATGAAACAACCTAAGCACAGCCATTGCAGCTGAATCAGCACAGAGGCATAGCAGTGGTGCAGGATAAAATGCAGTGTTAAAACTAAAGTTAAACTATTAAAATGTTGGGGAAATTACAAAAGTTTTCACCCGGCTCTGGAAAAAAAAATGCAGAGTAGGCCCCAGGCCCGCCCTTGTGAGGTGCTCGTTCCATAGCCAGGGTGCCACAACAGTAAAGGGCCTTCTGGTAGTCATGTGCCGTGGAACAGCAATTTAAGTAGCAATAGTGGAATCAAAATTATATCCTCATACTCTTGGCAAAAGATGCCTCATGGATTGCAAGGAGCGCTGCTTGCTAACAACAGCCGAAGACGTTCAATAAAACCTTGCATGTGAAATTCATGAAATCATATAAAACAAAGATTAATCCTTCACAGCAAGATATCCTTTTACAGGAAGGAAAGTAGGTTGATAGCCTAGATCAGTGATGGCAAACCTTTTAGAGACCAAGTGCCCAAACTGCAACTCAGAACCCACTTATTTTTCACAAAGTGCCAACGCTGCAATAAAACCTGAATTTTCTGACCACCAGCACAAGGGGGCAACATTCCACTGGCCACCAGCTTTTGGCCAGCCCTGAAAAAGGCATCTGAGTATATTTCTTCCCTTTCCTACCTTTTGCTAAAATCACAGCCAGTCCAAGCAAATCCCCGGCAGCTCACTGACCAGCCATGTGAAAGCTTGGCGAGTCACGGCTAACGAGTGACGTCGTTGCCTGGTGCCTTTAATCTTTCTGAATACGTGCTTGGCTGCTGGGGTGATTGCATGTGGACCTATCACACGTGTGCCATATGTTCGCCATCACTGGCCTAGATGAAACTAAGGGATATACAATAATTTCATGCGATTCATGCACCCTGAACACAAAAGCTAGCAAGAGCACTTAATGTTGGCAAATTCCTGCATTTGTGATCACATTTAAGGAATGTAGTTTGGAAGCTGTCTACTCAAAGGTACATTTTGGAAAAGAAAAAGAGAAATAAGCCACTTAAGTAATGGGGGAAAGTGTGCACTTCCAAAAAATGCTACTGAAATATGTGCTTTTCACATTCGAATGAGCTGAAAAGCAGGAACAAGCCAAAATGAGCTAAAAGTGATTTTCAAGTAATTTTTGCCAACTTAAAAGTTGCTGGTTCTTCCATCGCTATACCAAGGGGAAGTGCAGGCTTGGACAGTAAATGTAATTCTGGCAGTGCACCCTGTTGCCTCCCAGTTCTCTGTAGCAAGAGATAAATGCACATAGCATGATGAATTACCTGTTTCAAAGCACCTTTTCTGTAAATGATAGTGATAATAATCCCCAATCTGTGATCTATCTCCGATATTTTAATAAGGTCTAAAAAGAGGCAAGGGGATTATTTGACACAGTTATTCTAGGAACCTAGGAATCTGCCTTCACTGAGTCAGAAACTCTAGCCCAGTACTGTAGCGCCTCTCTAGGTTTACTGGCAGGATTCCCTCCTGACCCTGTCTGGAGATGCCATGCACCAGAAATCGGTGCCACCAGCCTATGACTCCATTACCAACTAGTCCAGGTACTCATAGGTTGACAACTGGACAAGTGTTTGGATAATGGAACACATTGCCTAGAAAAGCTGTGACATGGTTGCCTTAAAAGTCCTGAGGAAGCTAGTGGGTGAGGATCCTTCTGTCATGAGTAAAGTCTACAGAATCTTTCCAGCAGAGATAAATCTTGCAAGTCCTTTGCAACATAAAAGATGTAGTGATTAAACGGTGGGATTCCAGAGGTCTGAGTTCTAGTCCCCACTCAAACCATGAAGCTGAATGGATAACTTTGGGCCCGTCACTGCTTGACCTTCCTCTCAGAGTGGCTGTCATGGAGAAGAATGAAGAAGAAAGGAACCTTACAAGTCATCTCAGGTTCCTTGCAAGAGGAGGAAAGGTGGGGGATATATGTAATGATAGTAACGTTAACAATAAAATAGTAGTAGTAGCAATAGTATGGTAAAACTGCCTTTTCATTATTCATTAGGGTGATGTAATGCACAAAACCATTTGCTGAGTATTGCTTTATTTGGATTTTTTAAATTATAGAAATGAATGTACAGAGAAGCTAGAAGTGGACCCTAGCAAGTATTCATTCCCTGATGTAACAAATATTGTGCAAGAAAAGGATCGAACTGGACAAGGACCTTTAAGACTTCAACAGCAAAAAGTTACGGATATAAAGAACACATCTGCAAGCTTTGATGATGACCACCCTGAGGTTCCACCTTTAATTTGAAAGACTGATATGGAGAGGGTTTCTTTTCGGTTCGGAGCACCAAGTATCCTATGAGTATCTGTCAAAGGATAAGCTTCATGTCTTACTCTGTTGCATAAACAAACAGATTTGCTTTTCTATAAACTCATCTACTTGAGCTGTCTCTAGTGGTAATTGAAATCCCTATCAAGACTGGAGACCTACTCCACTAAACCATGCATCTGCTCACAGTCACATGGGCCTTGTTTCATATCTTCAACTTTAGAGATGGTGTGAATCATTTCCAGGTTCTGCGGCAAATCTCCTCTCACATAGTGTAATTGCTAGAGGATGCAAGGCTAGGCTTGTCTTAAGCAACTAAGGTGGGACAGAGGACAAGGAACAGATTCAGGGTTTATTCTTTCCTTTTCCTTGGGAGGGTATGAGAAGATTTGGCAATGTTTCAAAGGATCACAAGGCATCCAGAAGGAAGGGGGCCCTGCTAGCTTCCGAATTTTCAGGACTTGGAACATTCCTGAAATTCTAGCAAAAGCATCTCTGTGTGTGTGTGTGTGTGTTTTCTTTAACTAGTAAGAGTCCAACTAAATTTTAGAAATGGGTACAGAAATAAGACCTGGAAGATGAATTGTGCTTGTGTGGATGGATGAGTGCCAGTACTAACTTGTCTTTCCTCTGTTTGTTTTGCCCCACTTTCTCTCCTGATGCTCCGTCCCAAGTGTGAGGTGTTGGTTGCTAACCATGCTAACAGGTTTGAGAAGATGGGCAGGATTGGATCAACGGATACCACAGAGGCACCTCTATATTCTTACTGAGGCCCTCTGCTGTTTCACTGGTGGAGATCTTGGAAAGCCATTACCACTCTGAGCTTACGTATCAGAGTAGATGGATCAATAGTCTAAGTGTACAGCAGCTCCTTATGTCAAATCAAGCCTTTCTCCATTGACCAGAGCAGCTTGTAAAATTGGCCTAATTCTCTCTGAGTCAATAAACCTGAGTATGGGCTATACCATTCCAGACTACAGGTGGGAGTCACTGCAATAAATACTTTTCTGTGTCAAGAGAAAATATCTAGCCTGATTTCCCTCCCTGACATGCCATATGGTCCGTTTGCTATGGCAATTTTGCTGTGAAGCACCATACAACCACCTGCAGTTTCACATGGTGCCTCCCAGAGAAAGATTTAGCACTTTAATGAGAACTAAGAGGCCTACATGGTAAGGGTTTGTTTGAAGCATTAACTGAAGTATTTCACCATGCACACCAAATGGATCGCTGTGTATTAATTTGGGTTTGGTGACCTTCCTACATTAGACACATGCAGTGGTGCCTGGATCCCGGCCTCAGGACTGTCATATGCAGTCACCACTTTGAAGCACAGCAACAAGAGACCTGTTATGGTGCAGCATTCAGATGCCGCTGCACAGCTGGCATATTCATTTCTCAAGAGAGTCCTGCAGGGGAAATCCAGATGCCGCTTATTGCTTCGCTTTGCTTTGTCACATCCCACAGCTGGGGAGAAGTGAGCACTGCAAATAGTGGGAAAAGAGAATGGAGAAACCCCCACACCCCACCCAGGAATGTAAGGGTCTCGGGGCACACCTTGTCCAGATTTCCTCCTCTCCTGCAAAGATTCACACATTTGATACAGTAAACTGTTGCCTATGAAAACTCATAAATAAATTAGGATTGGAAGTACGTCAGTGCCACTGTCTCTCTGAAGCTTGCAATTGTTCAGAGTAAAACACCTTAAAAACCTATCTATTTTTGTGGTATAAAAACAAAGACGCCAAATTAATTCCCCACACAACTTGTATTTTGTTACAAGGTGTCTGTGATTTTAGGACTAGATGGGAATTCATCCATCAGTAGCAAATGCAATTCTGTGTCCGTTAATGAATTGCAGTTAATGAATTGCAGGTCACCTGTCAGAGCACCTGCTGAAGCCCAGCTGTTACTTGTCAGAGTGAGGCACGGATCAGAATGCTAAATTCACTTCGTTGTTCATGTACACTTAGAACATTTCGTCACTTCAAAGAACCACATTTCACACAAGTTGCAGGATGATGTTCAAGGGAAACGGGGAGTGCCTGCTCCCAGTATCCCCATGGCTTGTCTACAAGGGGCCACACTAGTTAGGTTGCCCTCCATCCTCAACAAACATGGCATCAGGCAATGGATGAAGACCAAAGGGGTAGGAAGGACCACCATGGTAAGGTCATAATTTTGCGACTCATACTGTGCTGTCGCTGCAGGTGGGGGAAAATTAGGAGCAAACATGTCCCAAATAGTTGATCATCTATGAATGTATGTTGGTCCTGGTGGGTCTGTGGAACCGCCATATCCAAAGGCATTATGCTACTGAATATCAGCTGCTAGAGAGCAGCATCAACTCATGCCTTGCTTGTTAAGAAATAGGCTGCCAAGCAAGATAGACCATCAGGACTATATTAGCATAGCTAGTGAAACATTCCCCATCCTGAAGTTCTCCTGATGTTTTGGACTACAGTTTCTATCATCTCTGGCCATGAGCCATGCTGACTGAGGCTCATGAGAGCCTCGGGTGTGCACCAGATCAGGGAGGGCAGATCTAGTGCTTACATTTGAGCTTTGACAAATCACAGGGGGTGACTGATACTCTGCCCAGAAGGACCACCACAAAATAATACAACTATTGGGCAGGTGCTTTCTTGTCTGCTTGCTCTGAAGAAATGCTGAGGTTTAGGAAGACGGTTGAACAGTTCCCTCAGTGCTGCTTCCTCATGTTTTTTTCAAGTCCTTGCTAGATCCATGGGCTGAGGCCAGTCATGTGGTTCTTTCCGAGAACAGAGTTGCCCTCCTTCCTGCTTGATCAAAGGGCAGGAGGGAAGACCCAAACGATGTATAACCTGGCCTTTAGCCAGTGCCATTGGCTTTTTTAGCATTCTTTGGCAAGACACCATCAGTGGCAACCAACCTTGAATGAGTCTACCTTACCACCACCACGGTCACCAGATGCTGTTGCTCCTCATCCTCTTTCTCATCATTGCCACCTCTTGCAAAAGGCCTAATTGAAGAGGCGGTGATGGCGGGCATTTATTTCTCTTCATCTCCCTTCCTTCCATCATTGGATGGAATGGCCTTTGAGAGGTGGGGAGCAGGCTGGATCCTGTTTGGTGAAGGTAATGGCTGGCTGTCTTTTTCCTCTCCGCTGTATCAAGCTATGTATTCCTTCTACTCTCCAAATATTGCCATGGCACCATGCAATGAAGTTACAGAGTTGTAACCCACTAGGCTGCTGCAGGAATAGAAACATATTTAGACCCAAGCTCAAAAACACAAGAGACTCCCAGACTGTAAACCAAACAAGGCTTTTGGATCTTTCTCCCCTGCTTCCCATAAAACGCAGACTCTGATGCTACTATAAATTAAGTTTCTGCTGAGATTCAGCATTTGATGGGAAAATGATAAAAAGATTGAATAAACAAGGCGTCTCATCAATTTGCATTCACATCAAACTGTAGCGTGTCCCCCTGCATGATATGTCTTCGAAAGGTCAACGAGGAAAGATTTATTGTGTTTTTCCATGGCCCCTCAACAAGAAACGGTTCAACAATTTCTCACTAGATTTATTGCTTGGAGGCCTGGGAGGAGACTCAAACCTCCCCAATTTGTCCTTGAAAGGATAATGCCCAAGATGGCATGTCATTTCACAAAAGTGCTTTTGAGTCAAGGAAACTTAACATGATCTTTATGTTAAAGGATATTGTAATCCCAAGATGACTTCACTTTTTAAAAATAGCTACTGTGGTAGAGCTGCAGGGTTTGATTAACGATGCCAAGGAGACAAATTAGCAAAAGAAATCATCAGAATACAAACACTGGAGGTCTTCAGCTTGACCCAGGACTGTCTTTGCAATTAGAAACTCTTGAAACAATACTTTCAAGGATGATGGAATGGGATGGCTCTCTTGGAACATTGGCAAATATGAAACTGTACTATACTGTGTCAGATATTTGGCCCATGTATTTATGCATTATTTTATTTCTATTTGAGATGCCTCCAAAATACATTGCCTAGGTGTTGGACAGTCAGTTAAAATCAATAAAACAAGCATACAGTAAAATATAACAAAAATCCTAAAAGAAATCTGCAAGCATCAGTCAGCAAAACCCAGTGCAATAAAAAGCAGTTTGAATGCCAGCATAATAAGACATGATGCAGGCAACAAGCTCAGGCCTTTTAAATTATTTCAGGGGGAAAACACCACCAAAATGGCAAAGTGGTTAAAATGTCAGAGGCTGCTCTTGCCTGCTCTGATCAATAGCAGCCTCTCAAGCCTTTTTCCCTTGCTTGCAACAGGAGATTATTTTGTGATGAAACTCAGAGATGCAAATCTGGCACCTTCCAATTAAAGGCATTTCTCATCCCATCTTCCTTCCTTCCTTCCTTCCTTCCTTCCTTCCTTCCTTCCTTCCTTCCTTCCTTCCTTCCGAATGGTTGGATCCCATTCTTCAGGCTTCACTCAACAGTTAGACAGTTCCTGCATCAGGCTCCCCACTGAAAAAGACAAAAGGAAAGGGGTTGAAGACTTGACGGTGATGCTTGGTTTGGAAGCCAGTGGTACTTGGGTCTGCACTGCATCTGTCATCCTACCAGGCTGGTCTGTGCCTCTTTTCTCCCCCCCCCCCCGCCCCCCAGTTTCTCTCCTCCTTTTGCTTCATGGTCATGAATCAGACCAGATCAAAAGTGATCAGAGATACTATATCATGATCTTGTGCTGGATCTGTTTCTTCTCCTTTCTTCTTGGGGCAAGAAGGTGTCCCAAAAGCTGTTTTGGTGGCCATTGTGGGAAGGAGGGAGCACCTTCTGATTAAAAATGAAGAAAAATGAAAATAGTCCATAGGAGATAGGGGATAGCATGCTTGCAGCAGCAGAGGGAAGACACTGGCCCTACCCAGGATACATCAGAGCATCCCCGTCAGCACATCGAAGGCCCTCTTGTTCAGGAATGCATGCCTGAAAGTCCTATTGCCGACCAGTGCAACTGGTGGGTGAGGAGCACTAGACGCCAGGGAAAAGCACGAGGTGGGATAATTTTAATATTGTGCCTATGGGGCATAGACACCTTGGGGCCACAGCCAGATGCTAGAAGATCCTTTGCCACCTTCTGTTATTCACAGTAGCCCATTTGCTCCAAGACCTCCAAGAAGGTAGAAGAGGCTGAGCTGCCATA